GCAGAGGCAGCTAAATGGTCCTGTGGATAGAGCAGTGAGCCTTGAATAAGAAGATCTGAGTTCAAATCAGACCTTAGACATTTACTAATTATGGGACTGCAGATACGTCACTTAACTTCTGTTTATATCCATTTCCTCAACTGTAAAATGGAGATAATAGCAGCACTTACCCCATAGAGCAATTGTAAGGATCAAATGAGATAATACTTGTAAAGTGCTTAGCATGGTGCCTAGCACATAGTGAGGGCTATATAAATGTCTATCCTTTTTCTTTCCCCCCTTCAGTCTTCTGGAATTTTATTTGATCAGAGTTCTTAAATCTTTCAAAGTTCTTTGTCTTTATAGTATTGTTGTGGTATAGATTTTTCTCTTGGTTCTGCTCACTTAAATCTGTATCAGTTCATATAAGTCTTGCTAAGCTTCTCTGAAATCAACCCTTTCATCATTTCTTATGGTACGATTATATTCATATGCCATTCATATACCATATACCATTATTTGTTCACCTATTTCCCATCAGATGACTGCACTATTCATTTCACAAGTTCATTTGTAAGAGTCAAATGAGATAGTGTATATTTATTTTATAACTACATAGGGCTATATAAATGTAAAATATTGTTATAATTTTTATCAGATTGCCTATACAATCTACTCCCTTGGTAACCTTGTACACTCCATGATTCAAATTTTCACCTTTTTATTCAGTGTTCCCAAATTGACATTTCTACTTTTAACATCTTTTCAGAACTACAAGTCTATATTTCCAGTTGCCTGCTGGATATTTCTTTCCGGATATCCTGCTGACATCTCAAACCTAATGTGTCTACAACTAAACTTAATCTTCCCTCCAAGTCTTCACTTCACCAAAGTATTTTTAATAGCAACACATAGTCCCAGTCTCTTATACTCATAACCTTGTAGTCACCTTTGACTCTTTCCTGTCTTTCACCCCACCCAGTACAGAAAAGATTTAGTAAATGTCTGTTATGTGCAAAACACATCCAGGCAGATGCCAAATTCTGTCATTTCCGTGTCTATGCTATCTTATTTATAAGGCCCCTCTTCATTCAGACTACAGCTCACCCTAGTTTAGACCCTTATCTATTGTAATAGCCTCTTATCTGGTCTTATACACATGCCCAAATAATTTTCCCATGACATATCTCATGTACTAAAAAAACCTTCCTTGATTCCCCATTATCTATCAAATAACATACAAACTCCCAACTCTGACATTTCAGGCCCTCAGAAGGCTGACTCCAATCTACATGTCCAGCTTTATCTTGTACTGCTCCCTTTCAAGTATTCTACCTTCCAGCCAAACCGAACCCCATTCCCTGTTCTTGACCTGTGTGTTCCTATTTCCATGCTTTGAATGTCTCCTCATTTCTGTTTGTTGAAGTTCATGCAAGGCCCAGCTCAGATGCTACCTATCCTACATGTTTGGTTAGTTGCCAAATCTTACCCTGTGACATCTCTCATTTTTATCCCCTTCTCACTATTCATGTAGTTACCACCCTAGCTCAGGTCATCATCACCTCTCTTACATAGATTATGACAATGGCTTCCTTGTTAGTCTCCCTGCCTCAAGTCTTTCTTCATTCCATTCCATATGCCACAGAGCTGCCAAAGTGATCTTCTGTAAGTGCAGATCTCACCATGTTACTCCCCTACTCAGTAAATTCCAGTGGTTCCTTCAAAGGCTACCTCTAGGATAAAATATAAATTTACTCTTTGGTTTTTAAAACTCTTCGAAACCTTACTCCAAACTTCCTTTGAAGTCCTATTAATCACTCTTCTGTTCAGCCAGACTGGCCTTGCTACCTCCCATCCCCATGTACAAAATGCATTCCTTGAATTCTATACCTCAAAGAGCCCTATACTCAACTCTGCTACAATGCATTCTACATGAAAACCTTCCTAAAGCCTCTCAATTTCTAGTACCCTCTCCAGATTATTTTGTATTTCTTTATTCTGTGTATGTGTACATATATATGTGTTTGTAGGCATGTTGTCTCTCAAAATACAATGTAAACTCTTTGAGGGCAAGGACTCTTGTTTTTTCTTTGTATTTCTAGCACCTAGCATAGTGCCTTGCAAATAGTAGACACCTGATCATATTTGTTGATTAATTAATTCAGTCATTCTCTTGTCTTTGGTTCAGAAATTTATATATAGCAGAGTATGCTACCTTTCTTCTATCTACTAGAAGTTAACCCTTGATCAGTGTGTAGAAATTTATATTTATCCCTACTAAATTGTATATTGTTAAATTTAGCCCATCATTCTAGCCTTACATGACCTTTTTTAGATTCAGACTATGTCATCCAACATTTTAGATACTCCTTCTAACTTTGCATCATCTGCAGATTTGACAACGATGCTATCTATGCCTTCATCCAACTCATTGGTAAAACAGCACTAGGCAAAGGGCAGATAACTGAGAACTGCACTAGAGATCCCTTTCCAAGTCAACATCACTACTTTTTGGTTCCAGGCAAACAACCAGTTCTAATTCTATTCAACTACACTATCATCTAGAACAAATCCCTACTTTTTGACCACAAAGATAAAATGAGATGCTTCAGCAAATGCTTTGCTGAAATCAAGGTATCTTAGAGTTTTCCTGATCTCTCATTATGATTGCCTATTAAAAAAAAAAAAACCAAACCTTAGTCTGACCTGATCTGGCCTGAAATCATATTGGGTTTTAGTGATTACTGCTTCCCCTTTTAAAAAACTTATAACCCATCCTTTTGATAATATATTCTAGAATATTTCAAGGAATCAAAATCATGGCCACTAGTCTGCAACTAGCAGATAATACCTTTTTTCTGGAAATGAGGATTGTTCTTCTGCAGTCCTTTGGTATCTCTTCCATTTGACACAGTCTTTTAAAGATCATAGTAATTCTCAATCACATTTAATTGTTCTCTTATTACCTTCATATATGGTGTGTCTAGACCTAGTGACCTGAACTCCCTTGGTTTTCATAACACCGTGCTGTTCTGATTCTTATCCTACTTTTATTCATTCATTCAACAATCATTTTATTAGGCAGACACCATGGTAGGCACTTGGGATGCAAAAGACAAAAATGAAGCAGTCACTGCCCTCAAGGAATTTATTTTCTTCTGGGAGAATACAGTATAAATAGATAAATGTAAAATACAAAATAAATACATAGTAATTTTATATTGATGGAAAGGACTAACAAATTGGAGAAAAGGGCTTATATAGAAGGTGGCATTTGAAATGAGCCTGGAATAGAACTAGGATTTCCAAAATCCAGTAAGCGTTTATTAAGCATTTACTATGTGCCATATACTGTGCTAATGCTGGGGATACAATTGATAAACAGAAAGACAACTCTTAAGGAGCTTACAAATTAATGGGAGGAGACAAGACAAAACAATACAGGAAAGCTAGGGCAGGTAGGGAGTGGGAAGGGACATCAAGAGATGTCTTGTTCCATGGAATTATAACCAGGCAGAGCAGCTTCTGCCCTCTATAAAGGTAGGCACTGGAAGGAGGTTGGTACTCTGCCTTCCAGCCCTCCAATCAAAGGGGAGAGGAGGCTAAGGGAAACACTCTCAACCAAGGCATGAGTTAGCAGCCTGGTGATGAAATTAGAAGTGGTGAGTTTATCCGTGGAAGGGCATCTTGTTCCACAGAGTTGAAACCAGTCAGAACAGCAAAGTGAAGAGAGTTTACCTTCCAAAAGATGGAGATGGGATGTTGTGTATGGCAAACAGCACATAGGCCAGTTTGGCTAGAATTTGGACTGTGAATGGGAGTTGGTGGGGAGTGAGGTAGAAGGAGTGGGATTCTCTAGGCAGAGGAAGAACAATGTACAATCAGCCTGGAAAGATAGGCTGGAGCCAGAATGTGAAAGATTGTAAGTGCTAAACAGAAGAACTCAGAGTGCAGAGGAAAAGTTGTTGAATTTGGATTCAAGATGTGGGTTTGAATCCTGGGTCGGCTTTTTACTTACTCTGAGCAAGTCTTTTCACCTCTTCTTGGTATCATTTTTTTTGGTACCAATGAGGAGATTGGACTGAGGTCATCTAGGAAAAGAGGCCAGATATATCTTGTTTTCCCGAAAGAGATGATCTTTCCCCTGTCATGCCATTTTTCAACCCACAGCACTTTACAGAAAGGAAAGTAGAAGTGGGCATCACCATATTCAAAAACTGTTTCTGTCAAATGGATAGTTTATTAGAGGAAGGAACACAGGCTACAAGGACCTCAAGAAATTATATTAGTGTTTAGGAATTTGAATCCAGGAAACCATGGCCATTCCCAAAATCACAGGCTTACCAGGAACTAACTTGCTGGGTTAATTCCCCCCATAACAGGGAATTGTGGAATATATCATAGCATGTTCCTTCGACCAAGAAACTGAAAATGTCCTATTAAAGTGCTGGAAGAGCCAGAAATACACAAGAATCTTTGGCAATACTTTTGCTCATTTTATTTTTCTGTTACTTGAAAGTACAAAATGTTGAACTTTTGTTTACTATCAGCTGATTCTTCTAGTGTTTTCTGGAGTTAAGCAAAGGTATTTTCTTGTAATAATTAAAGGGAAAAAAGGAATAAAAATCAAAATATACAAACTGAGTAGATTCACAGTAGACTCAAATCAGCAGGAATATGACAGGCCATCAGCTTTGGAATGTTCAGTAGTAGAAAAGGGAAGGCGAAGTGAATAAGTATTTATTAAATACCTACTCTGTGCTAGGCACTGTGCTAAACACTTTGCAAGTATTAGGTGTGCTACTGCACAAACATGTGTTTCTGAAACAAAGGCAAGGCTTGACTATCTTCAGTGCTACCTGACAAACTGAAACAACTTGCTGAAATTCCTACTTGCATTTTTGTAGCAGCTCCTACTTTGAAAGTCTAGGGATTTCTTCAATCACACACCATACCACATGTGCTATCCACAGCTTTGCTAGATTAAGTGCTAGAATGATTGTCTTTGTTCCTTTGTATAGGGGCAATGTCGGGAGCTAGAAAAGATGCAACTACTTCTCCTGTAATGTCAGTCAAGCAAAAGGATTTTGTAACCACAGCTACGTCACCATTCCAACATGATGCTGCCAGGTAAGCTGCTGGGGAACCTTTTGTTTAACATTCCACAGATGCATCCATTACATCTGTCCAAATTGGGGGAAGCAGCAGAGTTCCTTTGGTGCTATGCTCTAATGTGAGATGGATAATATAATCCCTAAACTGCCCTATCTTTTGACATTTATAGTAAGCTTTAAATTGCTTATTAGAAGAAGAAAAGTAGAAATATGCCAAGTTAAAACATTTTATTTTTATTTAGATTTTCAAATGAATATATTTTATGCTTAAAGTTCTGCTATGTTTAATAGATGTGTAAATAATTGAAAGAGTTAGTGATAACCCCTGTTAGGCCTTAAGTCCACTGGAAGGTTTTAATCACTTTGCATTTTTTCCAAGTTCTATCAAATGGAATTTCCCTAAAATATATCACACAGATGTTATTTTATGTTTCATGACAAGTAGCAAAATCACATTAAGTCAGCAGTTTTGATTATACTGTGTGCCTGCTCTAGAGGCTTCCCCATAATAGAAATATCACTTTTACTCTAGTAAAGGAAAGTAGGTTTGTTTTCACTGCCATAATGTTCACAATAACTTTGTCTCATTTTGGGATTATAGCTCCCAAGGCTGTGCCATGTGTATGTGAGTGTGTGTGTACATGTACCATATTTGTTAATGAAAATTTTAAATCAATGAAAACCATATCTTTTGTCTACATGACGACTTCTGGCAATAGAAGTTGAATTGGTTTTGGACCCAAAGGATGATTGGCTGAATTGCTGGGGGTGAACCAAAGGGAAAAAAGTCCTTGACAAAGCATGAAACGTGGGAAAGTATAATCAGTTTTCATCTCCTCTGTACTCTCCCCACCAGTGCATATCATAAGCTAAGTGAACATTTAGGTGGTCTCTCTTGTTCCCCTGGGAAGCTGGAGATTTTTTTTTCTATCTTATGTGGAAATGTGTAGTATATAATCAGGGAGGCCACTGATAATTAGGATAGGTTTTGATATATTCCCCTGTAGAAGTGAAATTCATCTTTTGAAGGAGATTATTTCCTACTTAGTGCCCTGATATTCACAATTCTACATTGCAACAATAAACGAACATTTGAAAAACAAATACTCCATTAAAAGAGCAACATTAGTCTCATTTAAAACAGCCACGTTTGCAGATACCACTGTGGAGGCTGAAATTCCTATATCACCATTGGAGGCTCCTAGATGACACAAATTATATCATTGAAAGGGAATCTATAAAAATAGAAGTGATTAGCTTGCAATGGCATTTCAGAAGTTTATTTATTGTATAAGGAATAGGAAATTCTACTATCTCATAATGCATCTAAAAACATCTCTCCTCTTATTGAAGACTCTTATTGAAACACATGTGAATTTGACCAGGGTAAGTAGCCTTGGTATGCTTCTCCTTACTCATGGGCTTCTTTAATTGACAATGGTAAATGGACAAAGCTTTCTTTAGAGACCTAAAGCTGATCCTATCCTTCATCAGAAAACCTGCTTGGGCAGCAGGTCCTTCCCAATTTATCATTGAATGCTTATAAGCTTAGACTGCAAGTTTAACTAACTAAATTAATCAATATTGAGAATTATAGCAGCTTTTGTACAGCAGTTAAGGGATTGTCAGCATGTTAGTGATACTAGAGACCTTTCAGGGGTTAATCACTTAATCAACCATATTTCTTGAGACAGAAACTTGTTATATAAAGTAACATATCTCTTCAGATACTACCTCTTACTGTCTGTTTAATGCTGAGATAAATATTAGCCACAAAGGGGCTTAGTTTATGTTTACTTGAGGATATTTACGGTTTTGAACATTTATACTCCTTTCATCTCTTCAGACAAGTGTGGATTATAAGCATTTTTTTAATTCTAAAAAAAACCCAAACCAGTTACAATCTTTTAACCTTACAAAATGAACACATACTGCTTACTGATTACAAATCTGATGATTTTAAAGAAATATTTTGAATCTGTTCCATTGGTTTTGGAAATAGTGACATCTTAACCACCTCTAGGGATATGTACTATAGGCCAAAGTGCTTATAGGAATGTTAGACCACAGAAACAAAGGCCTAGAAGTTAAAGGTTTCATAACCGACCATGTATAATGTCATCACTGCCCGTATTTTTGTAACCTTTCTTATTAGAGTGCTACTACTCTGTTTCATTAGTAGATTCATACTCTTGACTTTGCTGATTTTGAACTAAATTCACATGTTGGTCTAAAATATTGTAGGATACTTGATTTAGAATATCCCACATTCTAACTAACAATTTGAGCTCCAGTAGAATCCATCTCATCTCTTCTTGAGGGATTAAGCTCAGTTGGAAGGAAAGAAAAAAGACCCCAAAGAATCTGGATTTTTAATCTTTACACCAAATTGTCTTGCTATTTCAGATGTAAATCAGACCTTTAACACTAATGTGTTTTTGATGGTTACCTTTCTAGCATGAAAAAGAAGATTAAAATGTTCCTGTCATTTAGATTTTGCAGGATACCCCCAGTATATACTGAGTGCACCATATCAGCCCTGCAGAGTTTCATAAATCTATGTTAAAATTGTTTATAAACTTGTGTTTACTGTGGGCTTTAAAAAGCAGGTTTCTTCATCTGTTAGTCCTTAATGGTTCAGATTAAATATAAAAACTCAGAATATTCTTAAGAAATGAGTAGTTGACTAAATAAAATGATATATAGCATACCAGATTTTCTCCTTAGAAGTGCACATTGGCATGTTATGGATCCATTATACAAAATGCAGAGTTGAAAAAAGATCCAGAGCTATGAAAATCAGTTACTGAAAAGACACAAGTAGATGCTTTCCAGATCTCAGTATCAGATGTGTTTTAGTTGTTTTCATTTTCAAGCATGGAGAATGCAAAGTGCATGATTTTTATAGAGAACTTTTTAGTTACTCACAAACTCTTAATGGGGGGTACGGGGAGAGAGAAGCTTTTTATTTTTCATCCCAAGAAACATTTTAAGGTACAAAGGAGAGGGAAAATATAGCCACTTCCCCCATCCACACCTAAATTCTAAGCATTTTTAAGACTTGAAAAAAAGAGTGGGAGTGGAGAGGAAGCTGATAGGAGACAAGTTTTCCTTTTTTCCCTGAAGAGAGCTAACGGCCAGAAAAGTCCAATATAGTTCCATATGCAGGTGATAAAACCAGACGTTGGCAAATTAATCTCTCTTATTCACTGCGTAGGTTGTTAATTGTTCTCTCTGCTGGCTGTCGATATAATGTGAAATTTTCATTCCCCATTCAAGATGGAAAAAGTTGTGGCTGAAAATGTTAACATTTGCATTTTTATTTGTTGATTTATTTAAAGGACAGCCTCTCTTACAGCAATCCATCACTTGGTGACACCCCAAATATGAATAATGTATTGTAGACTTGCGGTTACAATGTGTAATAAGTGCCAGAGACAGTAGAGGAATGTTAACTATGTTGCAAATGTAATATTTATCGACTCATAAAGTTTATTGCTTTCGAGGTTCAATAATACTGACCATAGGACATTAATATCACTTATCTTGATTTTAGTTGGGCACCTTTGTATGTAGAAATATCCCATCCATCTCATGCTTACAAAATAAATGTGAAATTTACAGCACCAGTAAGTAGGGTATTATGGTGTTCCTGGATGAGAGCTGCAGTGCTCCATTCCCACCATTTCACTTCTTGGCCTCTAGCATTGATCAGACACCTCTAAGCTGTCCCAGACAGTAAGCACAGTAGTTGTCTCTGCACAGGAGGATGGAATAGCTGAACTGTGTGAAGATATTTATTTCCACTTGGCTGGGACAGGCAACATTCCATTTCAGCTAGAGAAAGGACTAGGGGAGGGGGGTCTTTTCTCTCTATCACTCTGAGCACCAGGTGGGTGGTTGAGATTAGAGCCCTGAGATTTGGCTCTTGATAGAAAGTTGAGGAAATCAGTTTTCTTGTATGGTGTCCATCCTGTGAGGTACAGTCAAAGTTCACTCATCCTTGGGTGATCAGATTCCGTTTAATCTTGTAGTCTGTATCACAGAGCACCACAGGGCACCAGGAGCTCCAGTTCTAACCCAAAGCTATAAAAGATGAAGTTGGAACAGGGACTTTGGCTTTCCCTTGAGCTAGAGGAAAGGTCTGATCCAACATACAAGCTATTATTAATTAACCCTTTCATGCCTGCCAGAGTTAATGTGTCCATTAAAAACAATGAAAATCACACTGGGAATATCTGACTCTTAGCAAAAAAAAAGTAGTGTTAATTAGCAACTGTCAGCTGTAATTGTCATCCTCATTAAGATGCAGAATTATGTATTTCTTAGTTATAAATAACCTTTCTAATTGTACTTGATGTATGCCAGTTTAATCAAAAAGTACACTTGCAAACAGGCAGATATTTGCATTAATCTAGCATTGGATCTTCAAGGTTTTTTGATAGTCTTTTATTTCAGATTTAACTCAGAGAAAAAAAATCTACTATAGTTGCATATCCTTTATGTATTAGTGACTTTTTCTATTCAGCTATGTAGAACTGACAGGATTTTATATTAAAATTAGGTTAAATATCTTCTGAGATTGTTCAGTGTAATAGAAATCTTGTCAGTTTTTGAAGCAATTGGTTGGGTTTCCATCACTCAGTCTTTTGATAAGAAGTTGATTATTGTTCCATACTGATAAAGCTGAACGTCAGGCATATAGCCATCAGATGAAAATAGCCCAGTCCCTTCTTTCCTGAGCTCCAAGGAAGGCCAGCTTGTGTTCTTGTCCTTTCTCTGGGAAGTCAATTGTTCTCTTTTTTGAGGAGAGAGGGAAGAATGTTAGTATTTTTACTAACCATTCTTGCAGATGTATGTTGGTGAATTTCTGCATGTGAGATTCTTCCAACTTTGGGGCCTTTTTTGGGAAGTAGTATCAACTATTCTACCTACTAGCTTTTGCAGGAAAGGTGAATTCTTCATAACATCCTTTGAGGTTATGGTTTATTGTTTTGTTTTTACTGTGCTTTAAAG